GCCCAACCCTGGTTCTCTGGTTCTGTCTGCAGGGTCGACAAGGTACATGTGCCCGGAGGTGGCGATGCAGCTGCCGTACAACGAAAAGGTAACGATTTCTTTTCACGCTGTAACGTACCGTAGGCGACATGACGTAAGATACCACCCCTCCTGGACAGATTTGCGAAAGCTCGATCTCTCCGCGTCGAACTAAGAGGATGCACCAATGAAACAATATCACGTCTTCGGGAGATACGTTGTGGACGCCGCCGTTTTCCGCGCTGCCACTGGCTTGTCTTTCTGCTGCTAAGGAGAAATAGATGGTTGAAAAATCGGTCCGGAGGGGTGTGTGGTATCTTGCGTCATGTTGCCTACGGTACGTTTTCTACCGCACCGAAGGCAAGGCTCGTGGGGGTTGATACGAGTGCCTGGACTTGTGCCCTTGTTTAGTTTGTCGTTCGACTTTCAAGAGGAGATGCCCTCCCCGTCCTCCGAGTCTACGGTTTCGTGTCAGAGGGGACGACAGCATCCAACAGGACGAAAACTTGCGGCTGAGCAGCCTTTGCAATCACGCGGGCGAACCGTGACACGTTCCTATCGCCGTCGTTGCCGCCACCGCCGCTACACTTCTCGCTGCCCCGTGGCGGTTGGTAGCGCGCCCATCAATGCCCCCCCCCTCCCACGCTGTTCACATTGTGCTGAGTCCCCCCTCCCCGTCATAATATGTATGCCCTGATCTTTTTACAGGCCGACGTGTACAGCTTCGGCTTGATCCTGTGGGAAATGCTCAGCCTGCGGCGGCCGTTCGAGGGCCTGAACCGAAAGGAGTTCGTACAGAGCGTCATCAAGGGGGGGCGACGACCCCCCCTCCAGCAGGAGTGGTCCGCCGCTCTCCGAGAGCTGATGCGGCGGTGCTGGGACGAGGATATGGATACGCGACCTGGTGCGTTTTGTTTGTGTCCGTTTTCTGTATCTCGCCATGTTTTTTCTAGAGGTGCTCTTCCTTGGTATCTCTATCTCGCCGCGTTTTGTTAGAGGTGCTATTTTCACATTAGTCTCTTCACAATATCTCGTCGCGTTTGTTTATTTAGAGTCCCAAGTTTCCGGACAGCGTTGGGCTGGGCTCACGAAGGAGGAGCCGGTAGCATTTGAAGCGCACGTCCCAAACTGATTGTTTTGTCGTTTATTAGGACGTTGGAAGCTGTTGGAAAATCGCACGGCGGTGTCGGCTCGCACAGAGTGTCCTACCCAGACGCGGCGCACACCGGTTCCTCTGGTTCGTCTGCGCTGCACTGGCTTGTCTGTGTGGATTCGACGTGCGGTGTTGGCGGCGTCCAACGTTTGACAGTCCAAGCGCAAGTGTGATGGAGTAGTGCGAATCCAGCGACACATGAATTGAAGTAATCGTTGTATGCGATGGAGACACAAGGCCTTGGGATGAGTCCCTCCACCCCCCCCCCGCTCCGCGCTTGGCGTCAACCCTCTATTGCTTTCCAAGTGTTTCAAAGAGTGCGGATGCTTGCATGTACCCCCAAGCACCCTCGATAACTTTCGGCCCCACCCCATGTCTTCGACGGAATTGGGTGTTGCATTCGTGGGTAATTCTTGTATTAACGCGACAAAGAGTTTGGCCCAAATCGCCGCCCATGTGGCACCCCCCGCTCCCCTGAGCACCAAAAGGGAACGAAGGAAGAGAGAGAAAACGAAAAAAAGCCAGTGCCGTGACTGTTGGCGAGGTTCCCTTTGGGGAGCGAGCGAGAATAGTGATTGCTCCGTCCGGAAGGGATCCGTGAAACGGTCAGATAGTCACTACAGGCAAGCACTTTAGAAAAGATGTCACACCCGCTCACCCCCCCTCCCCCCGCCACAGAGTTTGAAGAGGTGGAGGATACGCTCCTCCAAATAACCCACAGAGAAGCCACATGGGGAGGGATGCTGAGTGGCGCCACCCCTTCCACCGCAGCCCCCTCCTCCTTCTCCTCGGCGTCGGCGGCAAATGGTATCAACAACGGCGGCAGCGGCAACGGTGGCGGTGCGGGCTCACTCAACGGGCGAACAGGGGGGCCGAAGGCCGGGAGGGAAGGGGGGGAGGGGTTGATCGTCGGCGTGGGCTCGTCGAACGGGGGCGGGGGCGACATCCTGCCAGAAACGCGAACGTTAGTGTGAGAACCCGCGGTGGTGGCGCCTTGTCGCTCTTGTCCGTGAAGACCTAGCTGGGGAGGGGACGACAGTAGAGGCCTCGGGGGATGCGACGACAAGTGGAGCGGGATGATAGCGAGGCGTGTTGTCCCCCCCATGGGGAGACGGGGAAACGAGAGCCATGCCGCGGCCGGCTTCGAGTGGAGGCGGCGTCGTGCTCGTTTTGCGTTTGATTTATTTTCTGCCCCAAGAAAGAGCGGCTTGCTTTGTGCCGCCGTCCCATTTTTTTCGCCCTTGGGCCGCCACGCCGTGTTCCATTTTTTCGCCCGCAGGCCGCCACGCCATGTAACGCATTTGTTTTTCGTGTGATGGCGAGGTTCGCCAAAGGCTGTTCCGATCCCCGCCTGTGCCCAAATGGAGACCTCGTGTTGGGCGAGACGGGGGATGGGGGGTGTGACGGAAGAGTATTATATAAGCAGCAGCGCGTGACAATTCATCTGGTTTCTAAGTGCGCACGACGCACGACCGGCCACATCATGAGAAATCCATTTTATCTCTTACGTCTGGCCGTGCTTGTCTCTGGGTTATTTTTTTTTTGTTTTTTGTTGCTGTTGTTGTTGCACTCCAGTTTGGTATAATAGGCGATGGATGCAAGTGTGCTTCACTCCTTATCTCCACGGTGCAGCTTCGCGGGGGATGATGGGTGGTAGCATGGCTTGTGCACGCGAGGGGTTGAGGGGAGTAGATGAGGAACATGTACGGGGAGCACGACAATATAAAATAGTAGTGGAGCGCAAGATGGCAGCGCAAGTGCGGAGGTGCAGGAGCTCGCACTTGCAGTGCCGAGCCAACAAAGCCAGGTGTAGTGCCGGCAATGGCCACAACAGCGATCAGAAGTCACGTTTGTCGCTGCGTTTTTTACCAAATGGATGTCAGAGAGACGTTGCAGGTTTGCCGCTTGGGAAACATGTGCATGCGGCGGCGGCGCAGCCATAGCGGTGATTTTCTCGTCGTTGAAGTAGGGGGCCGACAGATAGCAACCGGTGGAGGTACTAGGTGTGTGTCGGCCCTATTTTTTTGCCGCTTTTTGGGGCTTGATCCCCGCGGCCTTTCACTTGAGTCATTTTTTCCGGTTGTCGGCGGAGGTTCACCATTGGTGACATTGTTTTTAGTATAGTACACCCTTTCAGTGTACCGATGTGCCAACCAACACTGCTGTTGTGAGAAAGCACGTCTGCGGGAGCGGGGTGGGGGTCTGGGCTGAATCTCCAGTCGAGCGGCGGCGGGGCTTTACGGGGGGACCGTCAGTGGAGGAAGGGCGTGACTTGCACTTGTGGCTCTTTTCCTAGCCGAGTGGCAACGAGTAGTGTCAGCGCCTGCCGGGGTTGCTACTTGTCATGGAATATCCCATCAATTTTGCGTGCTAGAACACTAGCTGAAATAGTCCTCGGAACGGCTTCCGCCAGGTGGTCTGGTGTAGGCCACTTGAAGGTTGTTTCAACGGCTGCCGAGTGGACACTTTGTTGCGGAATACTGGTAGGTACTAGCATTTTTTTTTTTTTTTGTGGCCTGGCTAGTTTGTTGACCAAGTTTCTGCTTGTGAAGAAGGCGCATAGAACCGAATGCACGCGTTCTAGGAAAGTCGTTTCGTGTGATGATGCTGTGGGCTCGTTGTGAAATGAGTCGGCACGGACGGGGGGAGTGGGGGGAGTCGGGGGGGGGTGTACTCATAGTCGTGCATGCCGTAGTCGTTAGACCATTGACCTCGCATCCCTACAAAGCTGGGACGGAGTACGCCGGGTTCTCACCGGACCAGGCTCTCACAACACCGAGCGCGAAGCGCCTTGAGATATTCGGCGAGTCGCATGAAGGGCGCGCTGCATCCTGCTAAGGGTGTTCGGCATCTTGTGCTTGCTTCCTTGCGTACGGATGACAGCTGCGTATGACTTAATGTAATTTCTGGTGCGTTCACTTCCAGAGACAGTTGTAAGCACTGTGTAACTGCCACGACGGTGCTTGGCCATTTTAACACAACGTGGTGCGATCATCCCCCTTGCGGGGAGTGAGGGTTCTCCACCCAGCACAACATGATCTACTCGACCACCATCATGGTTACCGCCAAAACAGAAAGAGAGGTAAAAAAACAAAAAACGGTAACCTAGTTGCCGAGTTCACGGAGTGAATTATTAGCTTGTTTTACAACGTCATTGCCAAGCGACGAAAACCTAATCCCGATGACAAACACCGAGGGGGTGGGGGTGGTGTACTCATAGTCATGCATGCCGTAGTTGTTAGACCATTGACCTCGCATCCCTACAAAGCCGGGACGGAGCACGCCGG